TATAGTCTCTTATTTTGTCCCCAAGTTACTTAAACTCAATTACTTAATAAAATTTTTTTTATTAATGATAGATTTTTCGTATTGGTGTTTTTAAGAATTTTACTGCCGTAAGTTTATTTTTCATTCAACTTGCTTTTGATTGATCCCATCATGCTCTGTTCATTCATCATTGTGTTATTAAATAGTAATATTTTTATTATATATGTATATTATTGTCCATATATGACACGATTTATACTCATTTTAAAAACTAACTGATTTTTACTAATGCCTATTTGGGCGAGGGAACAATTTGTATATTTTTATATTTGTAAAAGATTTCAGCAGACTTACTATGACTGCCCACTTAAATATGCTAAAATATTGTAAAACCATAAAATCTCCATGATTTTTTCATTCTTTTATCCAATTTCATGTGACACATATAATTTACATAATCTATTTTAAATTTTTCTCATTTGTTTATTTTACAAAAGCGCATTGTTTAATTTCTTTGTAAATATACTCGTATATATATACAAATTACTGTGTTAGAGGGCCTTTGGAATTTTTAATAAAACATTTTCTTACATAATAGCGTCGTTCATTATGTTATTTTCGTTTTTACGATATATCCTGTTACATACTTAAGCATATTGCATTTTATCGTCCTTATACAAAATAACAAATATATTTTCATATATGCGTATATACAAATATACACATATTAATTATTATACCCACTTTATATTTTAATATAGTGTAAAAATATTGTACAGAAACGAAAAACAAAGAAACTAATAATAAAAGGACAAAATATAAAAATTATATCCTTTATTTTTAACACATTCTTCTAGAAATCTACCTTAGTGTTCATAATATTGTTGTCCTTATTCCGTTATTGTGATTTTGTTTTTTCTTTAGTTTTATTTCATGTCATATCACTGACATAATTATTATTAAAGTTGAAAGAGAAAATACATAATATAAAAGAAAATTGACCAAAATCAGGGCAAGGGAATAATAAAATAAAGAAAATAATAAGAACAAAAAAGAAAAGAAAAAAATAGTAACATTTTACCGTTTTAATTTTTGTTATTTTTTTTTTTTTACAATAATAACTGTAAATAGCAAATGTTTTAATTTTGAGATATGATCGTAATAATATCAATTACAGTTGTACATATTTTTCTCTTACTTCATCTCTCTTTTTCTCTCTCTCTTGATTCTCTCTATTGTTGTTTTGTTTTTCTTTTAATAATGTGACATTATACACAGGGTAACATAAAACTTTTATGACATAAAATTCTTTTATTATTTTTAATGTTTTGAGTGCAAAATATAATAAAGGTTTTTTTTCAATTTGAAATTGAAAAAAAAAATATTTAAAAAGAAAAGTGTGTAAATATTAAATTTTAAAACTTTTTTAAAATTTAAGATTATTTTTTTTATTTTATTTAAAATGAATGAAAATTTCGATATGAACTGGAGGTATTAGTACTAACACTTGTAACATTGATTATTAATTTCTTGCAAAGCTGTTTAGAAATCATTGATTTGATATTGAGTTGTGAAAAAATTAAGAATCGGAAAATGAAGGACCTAATATTCATAAGGTATAAATAATTCTGCAAAATATAAAATATTATCCTGTATCTGTGCCTTGTAGATATGCAATACAAACCACCTTTTTAAACTATTGGTGGTTCTATTCCAAATAATATTTTCAATTAATCTTAATTTAAATTTGAATGAAATTCATAATATACAATAATGATTCTTGAATTTTATAATTTTTTTACTAAATCAAGTAAATACAAAAGAATAAAGTTGTTCCGAAACATAAATACATGAAAAGCAAAATAATTTTAAAAAATTGCATACTTTTAGGTGCAGCATAAGTATTTTTTTTAAAGCAGTGTATTTTAAAAGCAAGTATATTTTTTAAGCTTCAGCTATTCTTCTAATTGCTTTATTATGTTATTAGCTATAAAATTTGCGTATAACACTCGTAATGTAATTCTTACGAGTACAGTTAATTATGGATCAATATCGTATTTATAAAATTACGTTGACTCAATATGGCAAAAAGAAGATAAAGCAAATTCAGTCAGGATTATTTTGTAAAAGTGATTTTAAATATTATTGAAATATTTTTAAAATTAGCAAATTTTTATATAGAACTTTTAGATATTAGACAAATATTTTAATTCAAAAATATTAATAGTGGCTCATTCAAAGCTCATTTTGCTCTTCATATAATTTTGGCTTATAGATAGAGTTATATTAACGCGACTACCATAGGATGGATGTAGACTACATAAGCCTGTTGAAATATCACCAAATCTTCATATCATTCAATCTGCGCTCCCTAACGAGCCGCCTTGAGTAATAAGCTCTCAGACAGGAAAAAAAATACGATCCAAAGAATGTCTTTTCCGTCAAAATCAGACATAGGAAGAATAGATGGATCACTTTCTCGAATATTTAACAAATTTTTTATCAAAACCTCATCTAATTCAAAAAAATTTCAAAAATTAATCTTATCTATACTTAATATTTCTTAAGAGCTCAAAGTATAAATTTAAATTTAAATTTCCAATACTCTCTCATACTCTTTTAGTATAGAAAAGGAGACAAAATTAATTTAATAAAATAACTGGAGCCTAAATGTTTTTTAAATTAATGTCTAGGAATATTAATTATTATCAATCTGAATAATATTAATAAAATCCACAAGAAAATTTTTACAACAACATTTTTTCCACAAGCATACCATAAAAATCATTGAATTTAATCTTTTCGTGTTTTATTATAGACATGCAATCTAATTAAACATTTTTTACTATAACAATATTTTTTATGTTCCATCTGCTCATTTCTTCAAAAAAAATATAATGTAAAAAAATTAGTTTCAGACTGATAAAACGGGCTCATATATTAAATTAGATTTACGTAATTTTAATTGTTATATTTATTTTGAAACAACAAATATATTTTGTAATATGAAACTACAAAAATTATTAATGAGCATGACGAAAAACGAATTAGTTACCAAGCCGAAAAAATATATGTGAATAACTGGAAAATTATTTTGGAAGCTCATGGTATGGTACTCATTTAAGTATGGGTATCACAGAATTTAAAAATTAGTAAAAACGTTTTAATCAATCTAAAATGACTGTATTAAATTCTACACCATGAGAATATGTAAAATTACCTTTTAGTCTAATTGTGCTCTGCAATTTATTCCATTGGTCTCAGAGTTTAACAATGCGTTTCAATGCTCAACAAAATTTAACAGTAAACTAACATGAAAACCTATTCAAACTGACATCAAAATTATGAAACTAAAATTATTAATATTCTTCTGTTTGCATTTTTTCTCTATAAATTTCAAGAACATAAAAATTAAGGTCATTTAATGTTACAAGACAATAAACGCTTGAAAAATATTCAAAGGTCTCATAGATATACAAAATTCTCAAAGCTATTATTTAATTTGTCAGATTTTCTTTCATATATGAAAAACCTTTTATCTATTATCACATTATTAAAAATTTTTTTACTGTATAAAGGGTTTTTCTTAATTTATGTCCGAAATCACACACACAACAAAAATTTTCTAAAATTTATAAAACTAATAAAAATTGTTTTCTCTAAATGTAAAAAGAAATATTCTTTTCACACACCAGAAAAAACACTAGAAAAAACACAAGTTTTTAAACACCAGAAAAAGTAAAAGGTGGAAGAATAAATGTTATGTTGCCCTACAGGTAAAAAATATCAGCAACTCGTATTTCATATTCTACCCGCTCCATTCTTCTTATGATTCTCGTCACTTACATTCACTCCTATTACCATCATAAATTTTCTATTCAAGCTATCATCCGATTTTATATTTTTGTTGAGGTCTTGGCCATTTGATATTTTTGAATAATTTCAATCTGTCATCATTGAATTTTTTAATGTTTTTTTTCTTGTTTTTCTCTATTGGACAAAACAGAGGACCAAAAATTTATTTAGAAAAAATTAGACTCTGGTGTTGGTGTATAAAATTACAACAGATTTTTTTCCATTAAACAAACAGATATTTCTAAATAAAGAACAAAAATACGTTCAACAGTAAGAGTAAACAGAAATATGGTATATATGGTATATATGGTATATATATATAATATATATATATATATAATTTACATAATAATTACGAGTTATTCCTGTATATAGGTACATTATTATTCCCAATATAATGTAATCAAAATAAAACATTCACCATTTATTGTATTTTTCCTATTTATGCCTATGCTGTATATTTTGTACAGGATGTTTCTCGTATAAAATATTCAAAAATTGTAAAATTAATTTGAAAATTACATTATAGGTGTTGATAAAATCGTAATAATTTATAAGCAATAATATAGTAATAATTTACCGAATTCAATGGGAAATCGTAATTATAGGATCATTTTAATAAATTCTGAAATTTATCTGCTACTTTTTTACGAATCTGATTGAAATTGATTTACCATCAAATAAACAAATGGTAATACAAAAGATAAAAGGTGTTATTATGCAAAGCCATTTCTTCCATCCTGCTCAAAAAAATTCTCTTCAGAGCTGCTTGGAAATAGACCTTAACCGATTTCGTACTATTACTAGTTTCTTCACTGGGATTTTCCGGTAAAATATCACTTGCAAAAACTGAGCAAATCGGACTCCTTTTTCTGCAGGAGCGATGAGGAGACGACCATACATATTTTGTGTAACTATCCTACTCTGGCCATCAGGAGGTACAGATTGTTTGTTATTTGTTTGTAAAAGGGAGTAGTGTAAAATATGAGAGGGCTACAATAAGCTATGGCTGACTACTTTGGTCGAAGGAGGGAAATTCATTTGCCCATATCTCACTTCTATAATCTGCAATCTACAATATAATACAAAAAAAATTTCTCACATTTTAATATTTTTTTTCATTATTCCCATATTTTATTTATATTTTTTTTTTTTTTTCTTTACAGATACTGGGCTGTAACAAATGTTGATTATATGCATCAAAGGACTAGTAAACGAGTTTTTACAATGATTTTTTTTGTTTGGTTTTTTGCTGTTATCGTTTCATTAGCACCTCAATTTGGTTGGAAAGATCCTGAATATCTTGAAAGGATAGAACAACAAAAATGTATGGTTTCACAAGATGTTGCTTATCAGGTGAGAAAAATTAAAACGGGTAAAAAATACAAGTACAAGTCAAAGATTTAAAAAAAAATTTTTTAAACATTCTAATAAATTACATATTTTCGATTTATTATTAAAAATTAGATTAAATCCGGTTTTAAATTTATTTCAAATATTCAAAGATGGAAAATTATTCTAAAAGATCATCACTCTATTCCAGAATTTTATTCGTACTCTTTCAATTTTAAAAAATTTATTACATTTATTGTTCATCAAAACGTATACACTGTTAAAAATTTTCTATTAGAAAGCTGTAATTTGAACAGTTAACTAAAAAATCAGAGCAAATATTCGAACTAAATTTTACAGTAATTTAGTTTTTAATATAAAAATAACATTCACAATCAAAATTATTTTGCATAAAGTAATTATAAACAAGTAAAATAACTAACATGGGGGTAAATTCATTATTATGCGAATAATTTTATACTTAAATGACATTTCAATGTTATTCTTTTCCGAAAAAATCACTGGCTTCTAACATTTTCCAGGATTTTCTCCAAAATTAATCCTTCTAGTCAAGTATACTGTTAAATTTTAATGAATCAAATAATATTGGCCCTTCAACAGCAAACATTCTAATGTAAATTCAGAGCAAATAACTTCATTTAAAGAAAAAAAATTTTCAACTCATATTTTTTTACAGTGTATAACAATATTCAAAAGTACTTTAATACGCACTCTTGTCAATTAAATAAGTGATGTACGCATATTATGAAAAACAGACAAAAAAACAAAATTAAAAGGACATCAGAAACGGTTTATTAAATTTCAATTTCACGGTTATTTTCATGATTATTTTCTTTTATTTTGTTTTTTTTTTTATTTATTTAAATGCGTGTAAATAAAATCATTTAAAAAAAAATTTTTTTTTCTTTCATAACATAAAATGATTTTGCAATAAAATTTTACGATAAAAAATTTTTTTCTTTTTTTTTATTTTTTATTTCTTTTATTATTAATGCGTTCTTTTCTTTCTTTTTTACTATTTTCACAAACACATACATACAATCATTATGTATGTATGTTAATATTATAGGTTTTTGCCACTTGTTGTACATTTTATGTTCCATTGTTGGTTATTTTAGTATTATATTGGAAAATATATCAAACAGCTAGAAAAAGGATACATAGGAGAAGGCCTCGTCCAATCGATATTACAGCGAATAATAATCAGGTAAGAGGAAAAACAAAAATAAAAACCAAAAAGAAAATGTTAAAAAATAACATAACTGATATCATAATAGTAATAACAATAATAAAAGCAAAACAAATAAAATAATAAAAAAAAAAATAAAAAATAAAGAAAAATCCTGTTTATTTATTTTTATTTTTTTTGCTAGTCTTCTTCGTTATTTGTCATTTTTATTCATTTTTTTATTATTATTCGTTTTTTTTTTCTTTTTACTTTAAAATTATGTTTTGGAAAAGAAAAGATGAAAAATTACAGTGTTCGATATTTTAGGTTTTCTCTCTTTTTCGTCCTTAATTCTTAGCATTTTTCATTCATAATTCATTTGCTTGCTCATTTTCCATTTTTCTTATACGAATATTTTAAACGAATATTAATAAAGAAAAATTACGGGTAGGTAGAGAAGGAGGAAGGTGATGAGCAAAAATATTAAATAATTAATTCTCAAAAGATAGCAAAAAATTTATTTAAGATTTTTTTTTTATTTTCCAAATTTCAAAAATTAAAATCATTACAATCAAACTATTTAACTATATGATTTAATGATAAAAATTAAATTTCCACGAAAATTATAAAAGAAAATCAAATGAAATTAGTTTAATTGAAAATTAGAGACGAAAACTTAAATTTTTGAAAAAATTTTATAACACTTATACTACCACAAATTATTTTTTGTCAATTCATTCCACTACACAAATCATCACTCAAAATTCAAATATTAAATAAACTCTGCAAGATTAATTCTATTATACTTGGAGTAATTTATAACAATTATTTTACTCTCATTTACACCACATTCTAAACTATTTTAAATGTAGTCAAAAGAAAATATACCCATTGTATGTTTATTGCATTTTATTTAAAATAATTTTTTATATATTGCACTTTTTAAAATCCAATTAATATACAAATAAAAAACCGAATTTAACAATTTATACACCACAATGAAAAGCAAGAGAAAAGAAAAAATTCACAATGCCATATTTACAGTTAAACGAATAACAAAAACACATTTTGCATTTCCACACATTTTCACAATATAAAAATTCCCCACATAAATTCGTTTTGTCCCGCTTTGTAATATAAAAAAAAATTTTTCATCTGTGAAAAATGTAACCATTATAGTACTTTTGTTCAAGAATTAAAATTCTCTTAAAACTCATGTATGTGTAAAAATTTTATTTTATTTTCCTCTCTACATACACCACATACTCGTACAATAGAAACAACTAAATAATTTTAAAATAAACTTTGTTTTATTTTATAACCTAATAATTTACTTGAATGCATACCCTAAAAATCGGGTATATATACTTGAAATATAAAGTAACAAAAAGCACACTATTCCTATATATTACTAGTGGTCCAAAAATTTATTAAAATCCGAAATAAAAAATTTAAATAACACTCTGACTCTTGCATATATTCATTGCAAATGCAAAAAATACAAACAAAAAATAAGAAAAAATAAACTGAAAGGACATGAATAACGAGGATGTTAACATGTTAAGTAATATGATGAAAATTTTTGGCAACATGCATAAAAAAATAATAAAATTTAAAATAAAAAAAAGCTAGTAATAAATTTACTCTAATTTATTATAAAATAAAATTCATGTTAGAAAATTCGCGAAACACAAACAACAAAAAACAAACCAGCGACAAAATTTTTAATTTTTTCTATATATGTTATACGCCATTTTTTGCTTCTTATATACGTGCATACAAAATTTGATTTATTACTAAAATATTGTAACAATTTACTTTAATCTGCTCCTATTCAATGTGTAACTGTATTTAAATTGCAAAGTACTATAATTTTTTATAAAAATTTATAAATTTCCTGAATATTATGCAAGAAAAAAAACAAGGATCTATAGAATAAATTATTTCGTGTTCACAATGTATTCAGGCGTATCTAAAATTGATTTAATTTTTTGCATGAATAAATCTTTACATTTTAAATATTTAAACTATTAGACGCCAGTAAATGAAATTACGCTCAACATATAAAAAAAGATATTGGTAAATATTACAAAAATAAATTAACGGAATAGGTAAAATATGTTGTATATAATTCGCATAGTGCATTACATTAATAATTGGACAAATATATAGCATGAATTCTATTAATTTATTCCATATATAACAGTTTTTTTAGAGTAATTCCAGCAATTCAAATAGTTCTACTTCGAAAACAGATAATATAAGAATTTCAGATAACAGATTGGCTGTATTGAAGTTATCCTCTCTAATTATGTCAGCAGTAGTACTGAAAACTGAAGTTCAATGATGCACTCCAAAATCTTTGTAGGCAAGAATAATGTACTAAGAAAATTTGAACAATAAATGTTCGCACTCTCTATGGGGAATGAAAAAAACAAATGGATAAACCAACCGACCTGCAATGTTACAAAAATTTTGTGGGTTTTTAGCTTTGCTCTATTATTTTCTCTGTCGCGGACATGGTATAGTATTCTAGTTATAGATACGTAATAGACACTGACTAACCAGCGTTCATATGGCTAGGATTGGCTTCGTAGAGAATCTCTGCACGATTTACAATGTGAGACATGAAACAGAGACCTTAAAATCACGACTGTGTTAATTCCTTGACGAGGAAGGGAATAGTTTGGAGTACATTTAAGATAATGACTGATATTTCGGACTGTGGGATATGTACATTTATTTCCTTCAGTACGAAAACGAGAATGTTTGAGCCCTATAAATGAGACTCAGGTTTCGTTTTTATTACTTTACAATGATACCTGAATTTTTTTCTGGAGATTATCATGTGAAATAGTGTTGATGGGCCCAACGGTTACCTACGCGAAGCATAAATGTCACTCTAACATTATAACCAATTCACTTATATCAATATAGATAAATAACTGTTAATATGTTCCCTTGGGCCACCATTTGCAAGTATATACGATATTTTTTTTAATTTAATAGATTTTTCATTTATACTATATAGCAAAGTATAATTAAATTCATATCCATTTGATTACTACATAAATTTAAATTTTGTTAATGAAATTTAAAGGTTCAAGATTTTTATAATCCCATCAAAAATATTATCTTCTCATTCTACACAAGGGTTCTAGTTCAATTCAAGGCACTGGCATTCTTTGCACAAGTATCTACTTATAAAAATCTTATACCACCTTTTTTAGTGACATACCAGACTTGTGTTATATTACACAGCCACATCTAATATATGTGAAGGTGAACAAATCTTTAATGATCTCAAATTATATTTAAACAATTTTACGAATAAATAAATCCACTTAAAATTAATTATACAATATAACAGAAAAAATCAGAAAAAACTAAGAAAACCACAACTAAATTAATCAAAATTAATTTAAATGACCACTTAAGGTAACTTTTTTTTTTATGTATTTCAAATTTTATCTACATTCAGTCATGCATATTAAATCCCATTTGTACATACTTTTCATATGGTTATTCCCTTGAGTGTGTATGTACTGTTGTTGTTGTTTTTTTTTTTTTGTAATAATATCCTTTTTAACATTTATTGATTTTAGATTAATGAATATTCTCATTCTATATATACACACATATATGAATATTATTATTAATATTATTATAAATGATTTAAATCCAATAAATAAGTGTATTATAATTTTCATATTGAACAAATTATTCAAACAATCAATTAAGTATTTTTTTTTTTTTATGTTGAGATTTGGTGTGATTTATTAAATTGTAATAAATTTGGTAGGAAGAAAATACTCTTAATTTATGGTTGGTTAGTTGACGTGGTAGGCATAGTAAGTGAATCCCACTACCCCATGATTACCAGGCCGTCATTGAGCGTACGATTTACAAGTGGCCTATCTATGCCACCCGGTTCTCTTCAGGAATCTATGTTAATTCCCAATGGCAATCTTCGATATTTCATCGAGTGCCGTCGTTGTAAAACTAAAAGTATATAACTACAGAATGAATGAATAATGAATGCTGAGAATTTTTCGTTAATGTCAGATAAAGCAGGCGGTAAAGAGAATGGAAACATATTCTGACATATAATTCATAATAAAATATTAACTTCAGACTACTACTCCAAAAAATACCGAAAACTCACCGAAGATTCGAGGGAAAATTCATATTTAAAAATTTGGAGAACTTTTGGGATCAAAAGAAATATTTGACTAACCATTCTGGGTAAAACCAGAGGTCTGCATATATGGAAAAATAATTCTGACTAGTGTATTATGAAACTCTTTTTATTAAAGAAAACTTTTTTGCTTTTTTTGTATACAGATGTTAAAAATATTCGAAAGGCAAAGATAGATGGACTCAAACTGCCGTCAAACCTATCAATAGTGTTGGCCTTTAACCCAAACTTAAACGCATCTGAATAGCTACAAACTCCTTAAACTAGTTACACTGACTAACCATTAAGTTTGTTCCATATCATGTTTTTATGTCTACATACAAAGAAGGAAGAAACGGAAAAGCTGTCTCAGCATTTTAGGATAAATCGAGAGGTTTCGTTCGTTTCAGTCTTTCAGTCCCAACCTTCTCTCCTATAAGTTAAAAATTGATGGTAATCTTTAGTACCTTTACCTAGAGCAAGAGCACGATTTCTTTATTCCAAGATTTTTCTTGTACAATCTTAAAATACCAAAAAATCATTTGTCATTTTAAAATTGTACGAGAGCACTTTTCTGCTACATATGCATTTCATAATAAATTAAATCCAAATTGTATAATTTCTACTATTACATGCAAGTAAATGTTATTAAATTACATACATGTTATTAAAAAAAAATTGCATACTTATAGGTGCTCTTAAAAAATTTCTTAAACATATTTCTTTTACATTCTTATACATTCTTATATTAATTTTTTTCCCCCGTACAATCTTAGAGTTAACAAGAACATCTTCAATTTAATATATATATTTTTTCCTCTCTTCACAAAAGTGTAATATTTTCCCCCTCAATATAAAATCCTTTAAGAGAAATTTAATAAGACAACTTGAACTTTAATCTTTTAAAGCAAAAAATTCATAATATCATATGTGAGTAACATGTTTATACTTACATATTTAATAATAACATAAGACTTTCAAATAAAAACCAAGATATAATTATATATATATAATATATAAAGAAAATATTATTATATACACATATGGTATTAAATATATTAGTTATGAAAACAAATTTATATAAAATATATTTTATAATAATTACACTTACTGTTGACATTTTGACGTTGTATAAGGTACTCTTAAATTTTATTTATAACCTTTACTCTATGAAAAATAATGTTATCGTATTCGTATAGCAATACACAGATATTAATATAAAATTAATAAAATATAGCTGCTTTAATGTTATACTATTCGCTGCGCTATTGAAATTACAAATTCTCAAAGTACTTGTAAATAATTGCATACTTATAGGCAATATTTTTCTACTTATACATAGACATACTTGATTTTTAAGAAGATTTTAATATGAACACAGTTGAATTTAAATTTTTATTATAACCATTATATCGAAAATTTTTAGAGGAGGATTAAATTTTCTTAAGTTATAAAATGGTTTTTATTTAAGAAAATTAAAAATATTAAATTAAGAAGGGGGAATTTCCAGTGCACTTTCAGATTAGAAAATGAATTTGTACTCATAGATATTGGTAAGCTTTTTAGAGAAACCTTTAATATGTTATTCCCAAATCTCAAAAGATCCCAAATTATATACGGTCCCAAAATATAAATTATAAGAGAAACTACTGTTATACTAGTAGTGCGACAAACATTACAATCCATAAGAAAACCAAAAAACCAGTACCAATTTAAATGACCTTTGATAAGCTTCAAATAAATATGCTGATTAATTAAAATTAATTTTATATAAGTAATGTAATCATTTAGTTAAACATTCCTCAAAGCTAAACTGATCTAATTTCAAAGAAATTCAAAATTAAATCATCTTTCATTCAAAATTTATATTTATTTCAAATAAATATTTATTTTAATTGAAATAATCTTGAAATTATTCTTATATCCTTTAATAAATAATTTTAAATTTAATAAACAAATACAAAACAAAAAATATTTACGATAAAATTACACAGAGATGGAAAATAATATTACAATTTAATTACAATAAGAAATTTAAAATCTAGACAATTAATAATAAAGAAATAATTTTGTTCATTTTACTAAATAAATCTCAATTCGCATGTAATAAATCTATATTAAATCAATTGAATTAAATTAATAAAAAAAAAACTTTAACAATTCAAATGGAAAATTATTTACATATTATTTTTCATTATACAATATATTTGAATCTGTACTATTTAGAGAGAGAATTTAATAGTTCAATTTAATTACATTTGAATATGGTTTACATTTAATTGACTATAAACCAATATATATATATATATATACAAAATAACCACATTATATAACCATATGAAAATTAAACTTGAATAAAATGTAAAAGATGAAGAAAAAACAAAAATAAATACATGCTCCACTTCAATGAACTGAAAAAGTTAATCAAGAAAAACCCAATTCATCTTCCTAACATCATCATCACCATCATTATCATCATCATCATCATCGTAGATTAGAAATAAGAATATTGTGGCCTCTTATTTTTTTTTATATATGCGGTCAATTTAAGATTAAAACATGAATTATACATTTATATACATTATATATATAAGTATGTTTTATAGTATATAACAGTAAACAAGTTTTATTTAATATATTATATATATATATATGTATAATTAATCTTAACTAATAAGTTAAATAATATTTTGTGGTTATATAAAAGAAAATTTTACAAACTATCATATTTTCTTATATAATTTTATTATTAAAATGCAAGTGTATAATTTAAGAGATATCGAGATCATTCAATTACCGAGTCTTGTATAAAATTAATATAAAATAATTGCAGCTAAAATTTTTAAATCCTTACATAGATAGTAAGGATCTAATACAAATAATTCACATATAGGTTGAAATTTTTTAATTTGATTCTGGATTTCAATTAGCAGAAAAAATATTTCGTCGATAAATGCGAAAATTTTACAATTTATGGCTTTTCAAGTTAATTTAAATTTAATTTTGCAATTTCAATATCTCTCATTTTTTTGGTGAAGTATAAGCAAGTTTATGCCATATAAATAATTTATAACGCTTGATATATTGTGTAAGCTATAAGGTAATTAAACAAAACCAGTTTATAGGACGATTGTATACAGCTCTTTTGAAAATTTTATTAGTTCAAGGAAACTATGGTTTCAGAATTATGAATTTATTTTCATATTTTCAATTCAAACATAGCCAGCTACAATTCGAAATTCAAATCCATAATTTAGTAAAATTTGATTTGATCTTAAATTTGAGTTGAATGAAAAATAAAATTGTCCCACAATGGAAAATCATCTAAATAATTAATTTATAAAAATTTAAAATTAATTAAATTATTTTTAATAAAAAAAAAATTAATAAAACTAAGAAAAGAAAATTTCAATTTTTTTAAAGGCACATTTATGTTAAAATCACGAAAAGTTCAAGTACAATCAATGTCAATTTACCATCATAAAAATTGTTATATATATTCGTATAACAAAAATTAGATCTTATTAGAAAATATTGTTATACATTTTTATTTCAATATTATAAATTTCCCTTTTTCTCATAATTTTTATTTGGCAATTTTAATACGGATAATTCTACTTGTATATATACAAATATATTGAATATATATATATATATTAAATAATTTATTCTTAATATATAAAATTATGTTTTATATAACAAAAAAATAAAATATATAAATACATAACTGAAAAACAGTAATTTATTAAAATATTGGTTGGGAAAATATGAAAAGAACAAACAAGATAAAAAAAAAATGATTGACTGCATATTGGTTGAAAATTTCCCTCAAAGGCATAATGTATAACTTTGCGTTTACTTCGGGTTTTTTACCCTCTCCTCTCTCCTCTCACTTCCTACTACCACAATATGTTTTAATTTTTTTTTTCACTCTAAAATATTTTCAATTAATTCTAAATGCCTTAGGCTTGCATTTCAAATGAAAAATGGAAAAAAAATTCTCTTGTAAATTTCTTAGAAGAGAAAAAGCAAAACAATAAAAAATTCTTTTTTAGTTGTTTTTTATATACATACATACATACACATATAATGTATGTATACATAGAGTTTTCCTGTTGTATTTTGGTTTCTTTCTCATGATTTTTTTTTATTCTTTTGAATATTATTTTTAATTTATATTCTTTTAAATAAAATATTGGAAAATGAAAATATCAATAGAATTTAAGAAATTATTTAAAATTTTAAAGAACAGTGGCGACTATATAAATTAAAAATTTTAATAAATGAAAATCTTTATTATTTTAATATTTTTAATTAATCAATTTGTTTTAAAATTAATTAATTAAAATTTCTGTTAGTGTTGGTTTTTTTATAAATTTGAGTTTTGATTTATTTTTAATAATACCATCATAATTTTTGATCTTCATTTGAAATAATTTAAATTTTTTAGATTCACTCAATATTACACACATATTAGATTCACTCAATAATTAATCTCACCAAATTAATTTATTTACTCAAACCATATATTAACACTCATAATTATATAATTAAAATTAAAATTCTGTAGAATTCCGTAAAGAAATACTGTAGAACTCCATTCAGAAATATCACTAGAAAATTTCCCTCGAAAATCCAGAATTCTTTTATTTTAATTGCTATATTCATTCCGAATCATTCATTATTTTTATTTGTTATTAAGTAAATACTCCATTAGTACCTGTTTTAAACCCTTTTAATCTTCGAATTGAAATCATTGTGTTTAAAATTAACAATAACTTAATGCACGAATTTTGAAAATTAAATAGCATATTATTTCCATAATATTAAAGTAATTTAATTTATAATTCTATTTATCATAAATATATTTCAAAAATCAACAGAGCTTACTAACATAATGGAATTAAAGGTGCATTAGTGTGACACAAATTTTCATTTGAATTATTCCAAAAACATTAAGATTCACATATTACCCTAAAAGTATGCAATTTTTTCAATTTCATTTCTTTGTTTTCTTTTAATAAGAATAAGTTCTTCATATTATTCTTCTTATTATTTTATTGTTATTATTCTTATTTTAAGTATATAAAAGGAAATCGTCATATTATAAAAGCGTGCATATAATATTTCCATAATTCTTATATTATATTTTGTATACATAATATAGAAGTCATACAAATTTTCATATAAATTAAATTTTTTTTTTGTTACCTTATCATACATTTTAGTATATATATATATATATATATATATATATGAATATCACATTATATAAAATTTTAAGAAAATTCAAATACCTATATAATTCGAAAGTCAATGTAATAATTATAACAAAAATAACATAACAAAAAAGTATAACAAATAAAAAAAAATTTTAATTCATTCTCTTAAAGAAAAAAAAAATTCTCATCCTTTTTTTTTCTGTCTCTCTCTCTCTCTTTTGTTATAATATTATTCTCTCTCTCTCTCTCTCTCTTTTGTATTTTATTTTTATATATATATATATATATATGTATATATATATATATATAAAAATTAAAATATATATATAGCCTGTACCACAAAAGAAGAAAACACGTTTAAAAATTCGCATAGCATCAAAATTTACTAATCAAGGCAAGTCAGCTGCTTCCTCACTAGGTTTAGTTGAAGGTAATTCAACAAATACCGTTAATACCGTTGAAGATACAGAATTTAGTAGTAATGTTGATAGCAAGAAAGGTGTCGAGGTCACAACTACTTTTAATAATCCAACAAATAATGATGAGGTAAGGTTTATACATAATTATATATATATATATACATATATCTATATATATATATATATAAAATATCTTATATACATATATACATAAATTTAATTCGAAAATTTATATACTACATACTCGTATATATATTTAGTATAACATTATTTATGCAAATATATAAAGTAATAAATTAAATTCGATAACATTATGTAAAACAGTATATGAAAACAACATATAGAAATATATATAGAGAATTATTTATATGTATATATGTATGTATATATATATATTTGACACATTCATTCATTATACTATTATACATTGTATAACACAATGCGACAAAACTTTTTTTTTTTTTTATTTTACTCTATCTTTTTTTTCTAATTTTCGAGTTTTGCATAGAATAGAAATGTTCAATAGTGAGGTAAAAGATTTGATAAGTGAAAGGTTTATGCCCTTTCCATAGGAATGCAATTATGTAATCGAAACTGTAATAATTTTCACAATAAAATTAACAATTTTCCTATTAAAATATTTAGGTTCAATTAAATTAACAGTCCTCTCACAAATTCCACTCATAAAATTCCCGTCATGTTAGCTATGTAACAGAGTAATTCTAAGTCAAAGATAAAAATTCAAAACATCAAAATTTAATATGGCTATTCTCTTTAAATTGCTTGTCATGTTGGATTAGTTCTTTTATAGACTTTCTGCTTAACTAGAAACGTAATTCATAATTACTCCATTACGAATATTCGCAGCAGAATTTTAGAAAATCGTAATTGGCAATATAAAATTCATGATAGGGCTGGAAATTAATGGCTCGCCACTGTTCAAATATATAGTATTGCTTCAATACGAGTATAAATACTCTTTAGCAAAAAATTTCGTACAAATTGTGCTAAAAATTATTAAAACCAATCAATTGTGTAAAGGCAGTAAATTTTGTAATGTAAATTATTGAAAACTAAATGTGATATATCCTGAAGAATCCTTGACTTCTTGAAATTAAGATTTTTATTTTACAAACTTTATCTAATGTAAGCCTGTTATACATTTTAATAATAATTATTATACCATAAATACAATGATGGCAGCTCCGAATATTGTGCTAACACCGAATTAGTTTAGATTTCCTAACCAAATTTGAAAAATTTAAACAACATTAAGTCTATAACCAAACTTCATTTAAAATTATAATAACCGTTTAAATTTCGTAAAATTTTTTAAAAACAAAAAAAAAAACAAAATTTAAAATAAAAAATTTTCCTTTTTGTCGGTTTGCTTGGATGTCAAAAGTTTCTTCCTGAAGAAAATTCTTACCTAGAAAAATAAAATTGCTTTTTCTTTTATTTCTTCTTTGTCATTAAATATTTAAAGTTTATGAAAAAGTATTTTTTTCCCTACTTTTCTGTTAAATGTTTACCGTAAAAGTTTATCAACTTTAAAAAGAAAATCATTGCTAGTTACGAGAACAAAAATAAATAAAGAAACTATAAAAAATAAAAAAAAAAAACTTTTCACAAAATTTATTTTTGTAGGTCTGCATTTAATTTTGTTTTTTTTTTTTTTTGAGATTCTCTTTAAATTTTTATTTTTAATTTTGTTTAATTTTTCAAAAAATGAAATTTGAAGCCACTATAAATTCTGCTCTTAAAACCACAAAATTTTATTTTATTTAAAAATTTAATAATTATTACAGCGATGAGAAAATATTGAGATTTTCTTAAAATAATTTCAAAAAAATTAAAATTTTTATAATAAAAAATAATTTTAGGGTAATACGAGTATTCTTAGCTTCATACGTCATATTCAATTTATATTTCTTAAATTAAATATTCAATTATCCTAAAACCACCACAAAATTATTATGCGCGGATTTACCTGATACATCCTGATTATATTATCAAAAATTATTACACTGGCTGTAATACAGACCAACATTTCGCTAAAAAAATCATTGTTTTACATATCATGGACATGGGAATCGAATACATTCCTTTGTATCAAGATATACAAAACCAGATATATACAAAACGAGATATGTGCTCGAATAGCAATAGAATATGTCCTTAACCTATATAAATTTAAGATATTCATAGAATTAATTCCTTGTTAAATTGTATGGGACCAAGTCTAAAAAATCATAGTTTATTCGACTAAAATAATTATAGATTACAAATGTTAATGTAATTTTTTTTAAGCAAATATAATTATGCAAACATATTTGAAGAATTCCTAAATATATTGGAAAATGTATAAAATATTATAATAATGAATAAGCAATTTATATACAATGTAATACAAAATGTTAAATTATAACTTTAAAGTAAAATGCAAGCAGATCAATTTACCTTCAAATAAAAACTGAATTTTATATAATTTAATTAAATTTATTGATATTGAAAAATATTGTTATTATCAGAAACTATCAAGAATTCACAATATATAGAGAAAAGAAAAGGAAATATGAAAAAATAAATAAAATGATAACTAAAAGGCATTATCATTTCCATTGAATTTTATTCGAATTTTCATTTATTATTTTATTGCACAAGTATGAATAATGTATGCAAATTTATTCATTATAATAAACTTAAATGCACATATACGAGTATTTGATTTTAAAATTTGCAAAATTGAAAATTTCATTTAATCCTTATATTTATTTTTTCCTTTAAATATTCAATTGCAAAAAAATAAAAAACAGAAAATTGTAAATGGAAACGCAATCTTAAAAACCTTGTGAATTGCATAAATTGAGGAGTTCAACTGAAAAAATTTCATTTTATTAGAACTTAAAATGCAATTCTTTTTATTCATTCTTTTATATCAATAAATTCTAAAGCTATTCTTAGTGGTACAATTTCAATATTTTTAATATAATTTTATAAAAAAATAGATTTTTATAAATTTTGTAATAATAGTAACTTTAAAATAAACTCATAACTCATAATTATTTGCATTAAAAAGAATTGAAATATTATATAACAGTTATTGGAGCGGAACTTTTCTCTTTATAAATTTGTAATATTGCAATAGAGAAATCATTTCTTAATATTATATTCAAAAATTTTTTATTAGAATTACAAAACTAAAACTCAGGCAATATAACAATTCTTATTAATAAAATTTTGAATTTTTATATTTATAAAAGTTTAATATTGTATACGTTATTAAAAACATTAACATAGTTTCAATTAGTTAATTAATAAATTTTAATCTTCTTCACTTGTTCATAACAAAGAGTCCGAGAGAATAGCATAATATTTTGTTACGAATTTTTTTCATATATTGGACAAATATAATAAGTTCTGCGTAAAAGAAATAAAAATTTGTATCACATTAAAAAAATTAGCGTTTTTAATGAGCGTAACCGAAACAGTAATCAATTAGTATAACATTTCTTATATTATATGAAATATGTTCCATTAATTAAAATTAATCATTTATTCTATAACTATACTCATACATATATATATGTATTGTGTGTAACCATATTAATCCACTTTAGTATTAAATATTCTCAAAATATCGTATAACAGTATTGAAAATCTATTATAAAATTGTTACTCATTAAAGTTTAATGGTAAAACAAGTCAAAATTTTTAAGTAGAAAGCTAAAATGTGTTCGTGAGTAGAAAATTTAATTAAAAAAATTATTAATAAAGTAATTTGCTATTTCTCTTCAACTAATAATTCTCTTATTATTTGCATTTGTTATTTTTTATTTCTTATACTTTCATTGAAAGCATTTTCTAATTTTTTTTTAATTTATTCAAATTTCATACAAAATATAATAAAATTTGTTTTGTATAACAGTTATAAAAATTATTTTTTCTTTTTAATTTTTCACTCTTAATATAAAAATTATTTTATTTTTATTTTTCAGATACCAGTTTCATCAACTAGTCAAATAACAACTGTTTCACATATAGTAGAAAATAAATCAAATACCGATAGTATTAGTAATGAAAATCAAAATATACATGAAAATCAAATAAATCCTTCTAATATAATGACCAATAAAATTAGTACAACAACAGCAACAACAACAACAACATCATCAATAACAACATCAATAACAATACCTACAATAACAACTACAACAACATCAACATCATCATCAACAACAACAACAACAACAACAACAAATAATAATAATTTATCAAATGGTTCTGATAATAATCAAATGATATCAACAATAGCAACAACAAATAATGATAATAATATTATAATACCACCAACATCACAATCAACTGTAACAACATTAACAATAACATTACCGCAACATCAAACACCAGCACAACAATCACAACAACAAGTACAGCAGCAGCAACAACAACAACAGCAACATAATCAAATAACAACACCATTACCACATAATAAACAAAATCATAAATTAACAGCAACTGAACAAATAAGTAAACGTAAAGAAACATTAGAGGCAAAACGTGAACGTAAAGCAGCTAAAACATTAGCAATAATAACTGGTGCATTTGTTGTTTGTTGGTTACCATTTTTTTTAATGGCATTATTATTACCATTATTTGATTTTCATATCAATGATGCAATTGCATCATTCTTTTTATGGTTAGGTTATTTTAATTCAACATTAAATCCAGTTATTTATACAATATTTAGTCCAGAATTTCGTTCAGCATTTAAACGAATATTATTTGGTGGTCATCGTCCTCAACATTATCGTAGTGGTAAAATGTAATAAAATTTTATTTTTTTTTTTTTTTGTTTTTATCTAATAAATATACATATATAGTTTATTATGTATAACAGTATAACAGTATGTATAACAGTTTATATTAGTATAACAGTTAATATTTGTATAATAATATATATAATATAAATTATTCGTGTATATTTAAAATATATAAAAATAACTATGAAAAAGAAAAGAAAATTAAATTACAAAAAAAAAAATTACTTTTTAGTTGTTTTTTATATGAATTTCTATTTTTTATTAAAATTACTAAAAGGAAAAATTCCAAAAAAAAAAAAAAAACTAACAAAGCAAAAAATAATATATAGTGAGTGAATGTATTATAAATAATTGAATAATAATAATAAAAATAAAATAAAAAATAATATTAATTTATTTGATAAATGAAAACAACACACAAAAAGAAAAACAAAAACTAAAATAAAATTACTAGGATTATAAAAATTTATATTTAATAAATAAATAGAGAAAAACTAATAATAATAATAATTGTAAAATTGCAACTGAGGAAATAACAAAATTAAAAAAAAAAAATAAATAAATATTCATGTTTAAAGGAGCAACAATATAAAATTGAAAATAATTGAAAGGATCAAAAACAAAAAAAAAAAAAATCATAAAATCATCAACCATTCAATAAATTTTTATTATTATTTTGATTTAGTTAATAATTTGCATATTATTATCACAAAAATATTAATAAAAATACAATTTAATTGTATTAAAGTATAATTGTAAATTTTTGGTAAAAAAAAAAGAACATTAAACAATAAACATGAATATTATATAAAAAAAAAAATAATATTATTAAATAATAAAAAAATCCTTTTTAGACTTCCATTAAAATTAAATTAAATCAGAGATAGTAGAATTTTTTAATGCCCAAAGGGCACCAATATAATTCATATTTTGTTATAAAATATTTTTTCATAAATTGATTATGATTATTTTAATTTAATTTTGATTTATTAAATTTTTAATAATAGAAAATATTCATTATATAAAGGATAATAATTTTCATATTAGTAGTATTACATATATTCATGAGCTAGTAATATAATGTTAATATTATAAAATTGAAAATTATTGAAATAAATATTTCATACAAATACACAGAGAAAAATTTTCAGTTCAAAAGAAATCGATATCACATAAATTTTATTTTCCCGCAAATTCTTTTTCAAAACGCTTAAATGTGAGAATTTTAAAATTATATGAAGAGAAAAAAATTAATATATTTACTATATTTTCTTTTATTAATACATTCTTAAATAATTTAATAGAATATTGTCTAATTGTTAAATTATTTTTTCATACATGGTAATGAATTCATATATCGATCAATTAAATACTTACCAAATTTAAAGTTTTCTTTTATTAATTTTATTTAATTTAAAATTTTTTACTTACACATACCTATATAGTTTCTATCTAATATCAATATTATATTCTACATTATTTGTACTTATATTTTAAATATTTAGAGAGCTTCTAACATTTTTTTTTAAAAATTGTGTGAAATATCTTTCGAAAAAGAAAAATTTATCAGTTTCTAAAAAATTATTAAGAACTTATATAAATTTTTCAATTAGAAATAATATTATAGATTAACAGATTATATTATAGATTAACAGATTTTTTTTTTAATAATATTTATACCCAATGAGTGTTCTTGATCAAAGACTTCTCCATTTTCTTAAATATGAACAAAAAATGCCCCATTTTCTTCAAGAAAAACTACAATGCCGGAATTATCAGATCGCATAAATACTGAAGTAAAAACAATTTAGAAACATCTTAAACTAGCTCAGATTTTCGAAAGTATAGAACGTATAGAAAATGTGAAAAAAAAATATTCAATATATGTATATTAATTTTTAATTGTTATTTTACAATGAAAACAATCAAGTTAATTAATTAATTAAATTATATTATCAAAAATAATTTTATAATATTTACAGGATTTGGTTTTAATATTCAATTATATTTTATTCAATTACATATTTTCGTATTTACTTTATTTTATTATTATTCCCCCAATTTTTTTTTCTCAATTTAAATATTTTATTAAATAATTAAAATAATTTAAAAAAAAACAAAAGAAATAGTTATAGTAATAATGAGTATTGCCACCGAATTTATATAGATAATACAAAATAAAAACTATATAATGAAATTATAATATTATAAAAAATGATTTTATTAAAAAAAAAAATTATAATTTTATGTGATTACAAAATACACAATTATTATTTTAAAATTTTGTATAATTTTGATTCAAAACAATCATTCGATTGTCTCATACAATAAGATTTTAATGTAAATTATAACAAGTATCTAGATGATAATATAAAAATTTTTAATGAAATCTTGTTTATTTTATTAATTTAAATTGAAATTTCTTTAATTTTATAATTTATTTAATTAATTTTAGTTAACAATATGGCATCACAAATCATATCTTAAATAAATAAATTTCCAAAATCCGTGTTATACATAATAAATATTTTAAAGTAAAAATCACAAATTACAACCATTTCTTATAAGACTTAGTTATAAGAATTTTAGTTAAATATCAAGAAAATAAATAATTTTTTTTTGATTTCATTAAATTTGTTTGACAATTTACTTATACTAGTTTTGTAATAATATTCCTTTTATTATAAAAATTTATATTGAATTTATAAACTGTGCGTATTATAAAAGAAAAAAGTTAGGAAAAACGAAAAATTAATTGCATAATAATTTTGAATTTATTATATAAATTTTACTATATAGTCGTAAATATAATAAAACTCATATATTCAGAATTATATCCGAGAAAAGGATGTAAATTTTACTTACTATATTAAAATTTTTAATAAATGCAAATCAATCATACCAAAATATTCTAATTTTACAATAAATATTATTATTTTGTATTTTGTATAACAATTGTATAAAAATTATGAGTACATGTATATAATTTAATAATTTGGAATTTCAAATTATTTTTTAAATTATTTTTAGCATTAGTCTAAATTTTCGCATAAACTATAAAATATACATTCTTATAATGATGTATAATATGTTGCAACTGTTTAAAATGAAATTTTGAATTTATAATATTATTTATATACCAATATAAAAATTTTCCCTCGATTTCTCACTAAATAAATTTTTGTTGTTATATTCCTCTTATACTACATCTTAATAAACTCAAGCAATACATTAAATATAAATAAATAATTAACGCTTTATTACAATTACTACTTGTATTGTATTCCAAGAAGTATTTATTCGTATATATTAAAAATTATTATTAAATTGTTATATGGAGAAATATTATTAAGGCTTGAGAAAATTTCTATATTTAAATTAACTAAAATAATAATAAAGAAATTGTACCAATAGAGAAAAAATTTATTCTCTTAATAACATTGAAGAAAAAAAATTTCTATTTTTATTATTGCATATACAATATTCTTATTGTATAATTTCGTTAATTTGGAATATCAATACTTTTAAATTAATATTTAATTAAGGATTTATTGTATATATATATATATATTGCGAAAATTCATTTATTATTACTAAATACACAGATGTTACAAATCTCTTATTAATTCTTTTTTCCTTTTAGCTATTACAATTTCTCGTTTTTTGCTCAAATTTCTAAAAATAGCTGATTCTTATATTAAGTAGCTGTGTTGTTTTTGTTTTTTCAATATAAAATTTATAAAATCATAAAAAAATTCTTTTAATTTTACATAAATTTTCTTTAGAATTTTTATTTTTCTTATTTTTCCTTATATAAGAGAAGAAGAAAAAAACAAAAATCATTTTATATTGAAATAAATCGAATTTAACAGTAGAGCCATATTTAAATGAAGTACATAATTATATATATGTATATATGACAAATATATACATATAACACAAGTAAATAAATTAAATAATTCTTATATAAGAAAAAAAAAATTTTTACTTTATTATCTTAAATTATAAAAGATTTTCTTTAGAATTTTAATTTTTCTTTTTAAAAATCTTATTTTTATAATATAAATTTTAATATTTATTCCATGTACTATTATGTATGTGATTATTATGCGTACATACGTACTCAATATTTACGCATATTATGTAAAAGAAAATTTTTAACAAGAAAATCTTAACATTTCATTTACGAGTATCATCCTTTTTTTTATTTTTTTATTTTTTTTTCCTGTTCTTATTTCTTAAATCTATATACATGTGTACCTATAACATTTTTATCTCTTTACAATTATTATCATGACAATTTTCTCAATAAATTTTCTCTTTATCTCTATAATATAATATTATATAAAATCGTCATAACATTTACATGAGATTTATTTTGACATTTCGAAATTTTTTTTTTTTATTTTAATATTATTTTAGTTTTAAGATACGAACATGTTATTAAAATATAAATGTATAGGATATAGTCTCATACCTTTATTTTTTATTTTATAAAATGTTCGTGCCATATAATGTTATAGATAAGTCAAAATAAAAAAGAGAAAAAAAAAAAAGGGGGGGGGGGGGGTCGTGGGCAAAAAGGAGTATTTTTGTATTATCTCATATAGGTAATTTGGCAGTGTTGGGATATTTGGTTGAATAAATTGTGCTAGATTAAGCAAAACACAATGGTATTTTATGGCAAATTTTAAAAATTTGGCAGTTTAAAGGAGTTCAATTAAAAATCAAAAAATTTTTATTTTAATTCGAATAAGTGCCAATTATTCAATAAAAAAAATGTGATATATATATGTATATATATAGCACAATAAAAGCTATCTATAAAATTAAATCTTTTCTATTCACAGATTGTTTGCAATGAAAAAGGAAATAAAAAATTCAATACAAAATTAAAATTCATTAGGCCAAATTTGGCAATAAAGTTGCTAATATCCCAACACTGGTAATAATAAAAAATAATAAAAAATAATTTTTCGCAATATTATTTGTATTTCTACAGAAAATAATATTATTTTTAATTATTTCTGATTTGATTTTGAATTTAAAAATTACATATAGAAAATTATTGAAATTCTGTAAGGTTTTACAAGTGTAAA